ACGGTGATGATGAGGAACCAGACGGTGATGATGACGAACCAGACGGTGATGATGACGACCCAGACGGTGATAAAGAAGAACCTCACTCAAAATAAAATGGTACTTATTAGTATTTATTAGTACATTAAAAGAATACCGAGTGACACTAATGTTGAGGCCGGTACGTATTACGTTACGTAAATCGGAATTTTTTTTCAACGTAAGAAATAGCAGTGTACATCTATCACCTAGCATCAAGTAAACCAATTAACTTGCCTCATCACTTAGTGTTATGCACGATTTTTGCCAAAACATAGTAAAAACAGCATAAGGTATTTTTATTTTTAGATTTTATTAGGGTTTTATTTCATTTGACATGATTTATTTTAGAATATAATACATTTTACCATAATTTTATAGCGATTTTATTGAAAAAGTGATTTTGTACAGATTTTTTGTGACTTTAAATAAGCTATATTGTATGTGTAAAAATCTCAAAAGACATTTCTATTAACCTTTAAGCATTTATTACTGTGAATTAGGTCTATGTTGTCGACACTTTAAATAAATTAGATTTTTTATTTCCTTCATATTTAAATTTTTTAAGATAATTATAATGATTGAATCATTTTCGTTTTATTTGTTTTAAATGACTCTCTTACCTTTCTAGCCCTTTTTATAAAAGCAATTCAAAGTTACAAAATAACTACTAGCTGTCGTTCGCATTGAATAGAAAATAATATTGGCTAATCTATTCCTCATCCAGATCAGTTCAACTGTTCTACTACGTGTTCATGTTCAGGATTCGAACATTTAACCAATTAAGGCGGTATAAGATAATAGTTACAGCCGAACTTATATGTATTGCAGTCCCTGATCTTGTAACAGAACAGCTAGCTCAGCTCTACATGCAACACTGGATATAACTGTATGATGTATACATTTGACCAGAAGATTCATGATTTCTTTTTATTCTTAAATATCTTAAACTTGCTCCTTTTTGTACTTCTTGTAATTTACAGTGGATCGATTCGATATTTATTTTTTTTGTATTCTATATTGTGGGTCTGTGACCTGATGATTAACTGTCAATATCAAAGAGTAGTATTTTTATTACCTGTTCCGTCCTGTCTTGTATGTCACTGTCAATGTAATGCAAGTCAAGCACAAGTTGAAAATAAAAACGTTTTAATATTATTTTGATAATTTTTCAATGTTTATACAATTTACCAACATTTCATAACATTTATTTAAAAAACTCACTCAGCACATATGCTGGTCTCCTGTGGTAACCAGATATCTATATGTAAAATCGGTTAAAGTCAAGAGGTTTGTAAAAATAAATACCAACATGCTTACTGTATTTGGTCAGTTTAGTTAGGTTTACGTTTTACGTTATTCTTTTACATTTTTGCATTATATTGAATCTTAAAATAGACAAGAATTAAATGTAATGGAAATATTACTTTATATGACTTATTACTTAAAAATATCAAGGTTTTGTGTTTCTTTTCAGATCATTTTCTTTCTGATTATTGATCGTCGTGCCATGCAGAGAAAATGGAGAATAAAGGTAATTATTTATTAGTTATTGTCCATGAAATTAATAAAACTACACCTATTTGACACAAATATTTTTTGTGAGAACTACAAATCAAGGATTTGGCTGGTTAAACTTGCCAGGCCATAGCTCTCACCTAATAACAAGCCAGAGGTTGATGACTTGTGGATGCTGCAAAATTGCCCAGTAAATTAGCTTGGACCTTAAACTTTTAGTGTAGAGTAGCTCTCGTGTGCATTTTATGACATATATTTCAGATACCATCTTTGACATAACCAACTTACACTTGGAAGGTGACTTTGACTCGCAAGTTCAAGGACTTTTGAAGTACATTAGACTGAATAGAGCAGAAGTGGAACAATTGCAAATATTAATGAATGACTTGCAGTGGACGTTAGAGAAAGCTTGGCCAGGTTAGTACTAGAAAAAAATTACAAATTCATATCTTTTGCTGGGAACTCACTTTGTGTGGAATTAAAAAAAAACTTAAAAGTATTTTAAAGGATACATATGGTATGTGTTCTACATTATGTTCTGAATTTGTTACAATAAACATCTTCCACATTTAGTATAAGTATGAGAGTAAATAAGAATGTCCTGTCCACAATTATTTAATAATTTTAAATTCAATTATGTGACCTACTCTCTACCCAAATCACAAAATATTGTAAGTTATATAAGTTTAAAGTTATCAAGGATCTATGTAAAAAGGGTTTTGAGCACTGATGGAATGGGAACATATAATTTTTCGAAGTTTTAGAGGTTTTTATGATATCAAGATTTAAGTTACCGAGGTTCTACTGTACATCACTCTTGCTAGTCTTAGTTCACAGCCCCCCTGGTAAAGATTTTATTAAAAATGTTAACTAACAGTGAACTGTAATTCTCTAGAACATAAACAATTTACTCTGTTTGTAGTTTACTAGAACTTTTGTTGTCCTTTTTCAATGTGTCACTTGATATCATCTGCTACCGCTAATTTGTCAAGCATACTGGATTCGTCTATTTAGTCTGCTATTTGCTATTTAAAATGTTAACTTTGTTTTTACACCTCTAATTATCACCTTGATGTTAGCAAAATCATTAAAATAATGTTTGGCTCCACTATTTATTAAGAGAAGAACCATTTTGCATTTAACATTAATTTATGTTAATGTGTTACAGATTGTTCGGTTCATGCCTTTGGATCTATTGTCACAGGACTGGGAATAAAAAGTAGCGACCTGGACTGCCATATCAGCCTACCACCCTGGCAGTGCTCTCCAGGAAATGGCAATGTGTTCAAAGCTAGATTGTTGCTCAAAAAACGACCGCATATCTTCAAGGACCCATTTGCTATTGGCGAAGCTAAGATTCCTATTGTAAAATTTTACCACATCCCAACACAACGGCAATGTGATGTCAGTTTCAACTCTCCACAATCTATTGAAAATAGCAAATTACTAGCTTATTTCGTGCAGCTGGACTACAGAGTGAAGTCACTCGCTATTCTGATCAAATACTGGTCGAAACTGCATGGGCTCACTGGCACAAATTTAATGCCCAACTATGCAATGATTTTACTAGTAGTATTTTATTTACAGCAAAAATCCATTTTACCACCCGTGCACAGCCTACAGAGTAATGAATTTATTCTTGACAACTGGAATGTAGCCTTTGATGATGTAAGGTTTGCTAGTGGCAACACTGATACTCTGTATGTGCTCCTCGGTGGATTCTTTTTATACTATAAGGATTTCAACTATGATAAATTTATTATTAGTCTGTATTTAGGCAAACCAATCAGTAAGGAATCCTTTTCTACAGTAGGGAATGAGCCACCCGAGTACAGATTGTATAAAGAAAATTTACAAAACAATAAGTGTAAGCCGTTGCGAACGGATAGTCTAATTTGTTTACAGGATCCTTTTGATCATAGCAGAAATTGTACTGTGGCGGTCTACGCCAGATTAGCTAACAAATTGTTTTCATACATAAGCCTTGGCGCAACGGCTTATGAAATTGAGGAAAGTGATACCTTCCTTCGCGCTATTTTGTCGATGAGCGTACAAGAGAATCCCGTCGTAACTAAAAAAGTAGGCCCTCGATGCATCGCCAAAAATAAACCTGCAAACAAAAAAAAGAAAGCATTCTTTCACGAGGCGTTTCTTCGTGCGCGACAAAAAAGTAGAAAAAAACATCCGTGAATTTTTAAATATCTTGATTGGGATATGTTAATCGCATGTTTATATTTTCTAATAAAATTTTTATCTTTATAAAAATACTGAATCTTAATATTTAAGTCGTTTTGTTGAATTTAATCTATGTTTCACGTTCATACGTCACTACAGATAGACAGTAGAGGTCAAAATCACCATACAACTGACAAAATGTAGACACTGACTGGCTCCAGTAAACCAATAGAATACAATGCAAGTTAAACTAGCGCGACTGTACTGTACTGGCATAATATGACCAGGCATAACTGACTATTTTGTATATCTGAAATTATGTGTATTGCTAAAATACGTTATTCTGTTTTAAAATAACTTTAACTGTAGGCAAATAAGACCTGTGAATTTTATAGTGAGAATAAGTATATAATTGTAAGAAACATGTCATTTTTTAACAATAAAGAATAAGACTAAAAATGGTTATTTTATTAAAGTTTACTTTTTAAAATCTCCATCCCAGTACATTAACCTTTAGCCACCTACGGCTTTAATGAGAAGGACGTTCCATTTAATCTCAATGAGTATTGGTTTTAACGTGGCTCAAGGGTGCAAGCACTGGAGTTTACTTGTAGATTACAGGTCAGGTGCAGGTGAGATTGTTGAAAAAACGAGAATACAAAAAATTACAATTTCAATTGCAGAACAGACTTAAACAAAACCACAGTACATTTTCTTTCGATATTAGTATTTTAGGAAGTATTTTTAATTTTCTCATGTCGAAACATTATTTAAAAAATCGGCATATTTCAGAACGAACTTCGTAATGTCAAAATATGAACGATTGATTTCGACTGACAGCTGACAGTGGATCAAGTCAAGTTTATTGTTATCAAACTCCGTTTTTATTGCCCGCGATTCGATTCAAAACAATTCCCGTAATTACAATCTAAGCGTCGCTTGGCTTTGTTACAGTTGTTGGCGAGTGTTCAACTGTGACAAAGCAAGCAGTTATTTCCTCATTACTGCAATGATAACATTTTACATTGGTAATATGAAGATATTAATCCTGTTATTGTGTATTGCATTTTCGCGGGCAAAAATTGAAAAAGAGAGGGTGGGGCCAGGATATGATTGTCCTTACTGCCAGCCTGAACAGGTTCATATTTCCTTTGGAGGTAAGTGATTTAATTTTACGTTTATTATGGAGCAATCCAATGAATAAAGATTCGTAATATCTTGCATCGATAATTAGGATGATAATGCAAAATTTCGCTTTATACAATTCGTATAAACTTAAAATTAAAAATAGAATCTTTTATTATCAAAGAAATATTTTCTTTCTATACATTTCGATTTTTTATTTTAAAAAATAAATGCGTGATTGTAAAACGTAACAATATTGTAACATAGATAAGAGAAGTAGCACAGGATACTGCATCATGTTCAGTCCTTGCAGTACATAAATACTTAGCCTCATCATGTAATACTGTGTGCTAGGTGTATATTATCAGGGGTATTCAAAACATTATGTTTTTGTTGTAAAAATTGTTTGAATTAAATTTGTTTTACCATTCAGATAATATCTGTGTAAACAACAGTGAGGTCACTTATCTCAGCATATTTATACTATTTATTGGGACAGTAATAGATAATGTAAAAATTGTACAATTAAAAAATGCTTGGTTTATATGTAGTTTTAAAACCTTATAATTGAAAAAATCAGTTAAAGTAGTACTTCAATGAGTTTCATTTTTAATTATTGTTTAGCTTTTTTTATTGCTTTAGTTACTGCCAAATAAAAACCTGCAGTTCAGTAATTAACATTTTAATTTCCCAGGATAAGAATGCATAATGGATTATTTTTAAATAAGCATTCAATTGATTGCATCAATTTTATTATTGTTAGACCTGATATAAAATTTTAAATTACACATTCCTAAGGTGAATCTTTTCTTGATATTAATATGATAACTTCAGGTTCTAAAATACTGGACACATAGTGTATAGTTCTAATTTCAATACTTTAGATGTGATAGACAATGTAGAAAGGTAGGCAACACATCCAATATTGCGAATGTCTATGGGCAGCGGTCGCTTCGCCATTTCCACCTTCAGATAAAAAAATTAGACCAAACAAAATCGATCAGATCGTATAGTCCTCGTGTCCCTGCGCCGTGTTAACCTTGCGGTCGCGGCGCGTAATCTGCACTCGATAATGGCCGCTTAACAAATTGATTGCTTGCTACTGTTTTCAATTAGCCGCGTATTTGTTATAGGAAAATTGTAGTACAAATTACTAATATGCTGTAAGTTATTTTAATTGTTTTCGTCATACTTCCGTACGACCAGTTATATTTCATTGAACATTGCTGTACTGGAAATCTTTTAACGGATTTTCTATTAGACGTCAGAAGTTTTAGGGCGATGCCAAACTGGCAGGCACCAATAATGATTTTAACGGATAGTCTGTCACGGCCAAACACGTTGACGCAACGCAAATCGCCGTAAGATTACTTATCAATAAGGTTATAATTTCATAAGTCTTTTACTTTGTCCCCTGACCCCAGAAAAGACCAACGACATAGTAGCGACATGGTCGACGTTCAACGACACGGGCGAGAGCCGCGCACAGTTCGGTGTGGGCCAGATGGACCAGGAGGCGACGGGGCGCAGCACGCT